GAGAGAGAGAGAGAGAGAGAGAGAGAGAGAGAGAGAGAGAGAGAGAGAGAGAGAGAGAGAGGATGTGAGTGAGTGCGCGTGTGTGTGAGCGTGCAAGACAGAGAGCGAACTAGCGGAGCACTGAGCTACACACGAACAAGTCTACACACATGCACGCCCATGAAGCAGGTACGGAGGTTATTATAGTACATACTGCTCAGCGATGTAGCAGGTACGGAGGTGATTACACTATCATTATAGTACATACAACTCAGCCATGAACATTAGCAACAAACGCGTCTCGCTGCTGCATGTCCATGACATGACATCATTGACATGAGACAAGCGAGACGCGAGCGCCTTTGAAAAGGAAGGTCAGAGATGGTTACCACATCGAAGGAAGGCATCAGGCGGGTTAATTACCCAATCCTGACATCGGGATCCTGTGACAATAAATAACAATAGTGAGCAAAAAAAGGGGAAAATACCAAACCAGTGGAAAAGGGAAAAACGTCGGCAAATTTCAGCATCGAATTGGCCCTTGCTAAATTAGACGCTGCGCTGCGCGGACAAGCAAAGATTCTGAAGCCTCTCGGTTTCCTCTCATACTATCTGTTCTTGAACGTCCCAACTTCACCTGTGCCACTCTCTCCCGCATCTTCTACTGGACTCAACCTGATACCACCTGGCGTGAATACTCAACCTGGGAAAATAAAAGAAAAAAAAGAAAAAAAGAAAAAATCGCGCACGCTAATGTTTTGCGCAGGAAGGTCCCAACTTCAGCCCTGTGCCACTCTCTCACGACTCACGAACTCTCAAAGAAGTTTCGGAGTTTTCTCTCACATCTTTCAGATCCTTCCGAGAAGTGTCTCCTTAACGACGATCTCTTTTCGTTCTCTGCGTCTTTGCACACTCCGGCTGCCGTCGAGCTTAAACCACTACTGTAGGTGAAAAAAAAAAAAAAAAAAAAAAAAGGGACAAGAAATGTTAAAGCAGTGAGATTTGAACGACTTCTGGGCGATATCCTATCCTGCCGCATCTGTGACGTCGCATGGAGTCTTCCATCTACAGTTGCTTAGCTTTCTTCGGATGCATATCGGAGAGTCCTCTTGCGAGTGTGTCCTTCCTTATGAAGAGCTAGCACTTGTCTGAGTTGTCTCAATGCTGCGACATTCAAACAACGATTCATTCACACCTTTCGCCCAAATTTGACCCGGAAAGAAAACACACAAGTTAAGGGAAAATTACAAACAAGTTACGGGGCCATACGAGCAATGACAAGTTCACGTAACAACGTAACCTACAGCCTGTCTCTTATACACATCTAGATGTGTATAAGAGACAGGTATAACGTACGGTCATTACAGCTGTTGTGTTCGGGGTATTGTTCACTCTAAATACAGCTATAATGACCGTACGTTGTATTCGGGGGAAGAGGGTAGTTAACAGCAGCTGACTTCCGAACAAACGGTCTCTCTAAAGGACAACAATATGATGTGTTGGCATATTCAAATAATCCG